TGGGCGACAGAGCAAGACTCTGTCTGTGTGTATATATATATATATATATATATATATGAATGAACAATTATAGTACTATTTATTATTCATGGGGACTAGCAGTAATGCACGAAGTACATAAATACATATATATATATACACACACACATATATATACACACACACATATATACACACACATACACATATATACACACACACATATATACACACACACATATATATACACACACATATATATACACACATATATATATGAAGGCGGGGATGGTCTTACTGAGTGCACCAAGGTGCAATATCCTGGGCCCTATGTTAAGGCAAATCAGAGGAGAACAAGCAAGATGGCAGGAGACAGGACTCCCCACCACACCAAGACCCAAGGGACCCAGGAGACCCTCAGACCAGAGAACCCCAGGGCTGAGGAGGGAACAACAGCCACCTTCTCCAATGTTTGCCTGGCTCCCTGCCAGGCTCTGAGCCTCTTGAGGTCACCTTCATCTGGGGACACCCATCAGCACATGTGGCCATGCGCACAGGCACATGCTACTGCCCCCCCGCTGCCCAGACATCCAGCCCCACGTGCACCTCTCTCCTTCTGTAAGCCTCAGGTCCACCGCCACCGGCGTGGACCACTGCACGGAGCTTTCACCCACGTCAGTGAGAATGAATCCTTCTCCTCCGCCTGCCTACTTAGCAAAAGAAAACTAATATTTGAGAAATTTGTGATGGGTTGCTCAGCAAAGAAGTTCCGTTTCAGCTTTCAATTAAACAGTCAAAGCATAAGCTCAGGATTATTAAACATTTATCACTGTAGATGGGAAATTAACCACAAGGTTTTCAAGGTGCTTGGGCTCAAGACCTTCCCAGGCTGAGACTGCCTGTTGCTGTACGTGCTTCCCAGGCTGCACAAGCTTCTGGGGAAGTGAATGGAAACAGCCTTTGGGAACAGGCTCCACCAGTATCTGGCTGTGCCACCTGGGATGTGCGGCTGCCTCTCTCTGAGCCTCAACTTCTCCATCTATAAAATGGGGATGTGGTTCCAATTCCACGAGGTAGTTGTGAAAATTCCATAAGGTAACACATGTGAAATGTCTAATACAAGGCTTGGCATGCAGTCATTACCCAGCAGCGATTGTTTTTACCGTTAATATATTGCTATTAATAATGAAAACATTTAAAATATTTTTCTTCCCTGAAACTCAAATTCTTCATCATTAAAACAGTGATAGCACCACTTACATCATAAGGCTGTTTGAAGATTAAATTAAATGAGATAACAGATGTATGTCTATACAATACAACGCTTGGCACGTAACAGATGTTCAAATAAGTAACAGCCATTATGATTCTGATCCTACACTCTAACCTGGGATGTGTGATGGATGGATCAGTAAATATTGGCTGAATAATTAACACATTAATAAAAGAGAGAGAAAAAAAATTGTTTCAAGCAGTCAGGCTCTGGTTCTTCTGGAAACAAGGAATGGTCCACCTGTGACCAGCCGGCCATTTGATGGAGGGCGAGCCCGGGCCTGGCTGGCCCCGTCTCAGTGTGCAGCAAGGGGCCTGAGACACAGACGGCCCCTCTGTTTGTGAGGAGGAGGCGAGCTCTTTTATCTGGACGCAGAACGAACAGCTTTTCTAACTCCCCGACAGAGGCGAGAATGTTCAGGAAAGAAAGTACTTCCGAGGGATACACTGGGACCCATTCTGAGGCGGATTTATTACTTTCGGCTGAAATGGAGGCATTGCCTTATTGTCTGTGACTCTGCATCTGTTCATTTGCACATCAAAATGGACACTCCGTGAGGCTATTAACGATGGCTTTGAAGATATTGGAATGTCTTTGGAAATTACTATCAATAAAAAACAAACTGGCTATGGAGAAGTTACTATTTTTCCCCTAGTAAACTTACTGACATTTTATTCCATTATGGATGTTGTCCAAGGTATAATGAAATGCTCAGTGATTGATGGTGCCTCCTGCAGCTTCCGCGCCTTGCAGGATCCCCTTTCAGGAGGATGGCGGGCTGCCCGGGCCACAGAGAGACACCCGCTTTGTTTGCAGCCCCAGCAGCTGTCCCGAGGGCTGGGCCGCGGGCTGCTCTCCGCCAGTGAGGCCCGACTGGCTGTGCTTGGCCCATGGAGCCCCACGACAGGAAGGGGCCCAGAGGACCTGCAGGTCAGCACTCTGCCTTCCCCCATTCTCTGATGACCATGACGGCACAGCCTCCCCAGACCTGGTTCTTACACTGTTCAAAGGAGAGCAAATTCTTCCTTCAATCCTGGCACACATTCACAATACTGGACAACCTATGGAGGGCACTGACTGTTCGGAATTGCCACCATTTGGTACTGGAATCACATTAACCCTCTCTTTGCTGGATAAGGGGGAGGTCTGGGGGCCACTGGGGAGGTAGCCAGAGTGTAGAGGCACCCCAGCGGCCCAGGTCAGGAACCATTTACCAACCAACCTGGAAGTAGTGCAATTATTTTAACAACTGATATGACCATACTGGTATATAAATGTGGATATCAGTTCTGCTTATATCTAGCCACAATCTCTCTTGCTTTTACTGGAGTCCCTTCCATCACCTCTATAAGTCATTAGGGGTAACTTAAAGTAAAGGGGTGCCACTGGTTTCCTGAGACATACACGCTCTGCACTCAGGGCTGAGCCCTCCCCTCTGCTCGTCAGTTATATTTTTATTTTTATTATTATTATATATATTTTTTGAGACAGGGTCTTGCTCTGTCACCCAGGCTGGAGTGCAATGCCACAATCTCGGCTCACTGCAACTTCTGCCTCCTGGGTTCAAGGGATTCTCCTGCCTCAGCCTCCCAAGTAGCTGGAATTATAGGCATGTGCCACCACACCTGGCTAATTTTTATATTTTTTAGTAGAGACAGGTTTCACCATGTTGGCCAGGCTGGTCTCGAACTCCTGGTCTCAGGTGATCCACCGCCTGAGAAACAAAAAAATTGTTGGCCAGGATTCCAGCCAACGTCTGTCTGAATCCAAAGCCGGAGTGCTAAGTGACCTGCTCACAACATCTCAGCCTTGAGTCATGTGGAATTCCAGCCGGTGAGTGAGCAAAACCCTAAAGGACTTCACGTCACAGGCCCCTTCCTGTCCCGCAGAGCAGAAGGAAAGAACCATCTAGCGGTGAAGGCTATGAATTTGAAGAGAGAAAGACGACACCAAACCTGTGACCCTGAATAGGGGTCCTGGGAACAGCTCCCCTAAATGCAGCTGAGCGCCTACCTCGGCTGTGGATGGCGGGCCTGGGAGCCTCGGGGCCCAGGGCGGGCGGTCCCTGGGAGTCACTCATGAAGTGGTGGAACCAGCGACGACGCAGCTGACGCAGCTCCGAGTTGCGGCTCCGGAGCCAGCGGGGGCCGGGACGGGGCCGGGTCAGGGGGCTCTGTAGCATGTCCACGCCCAGCAGGAGCTCTGGGCTGACTCGAGGGTCATGCAGCGCTCTGCTGTCCAGCAAGCCCACGCCCAGGGCCACGGCGGCCACTGGCAAGGTCTGCAGGGGGCCAGGTGCCCGGGGGCCCTGTGGGAGGGCCACTCGGGCCCGCTGCAGCAGCAGCAGGCTGCCGGTCATCAGGTAGGCAGCCGTGAGGAAGAACAGCAGGAACTGTGTTCGGCGGAGAAACTTCTGGAGTCGGAAGAAAGGTTTGGCCATGCCCCTGGGCAGCAGGGCTCCTGGCCGGAGCCCCGGGATGGCTCCTAGCGCCCAGGCGGGAGGGAGGCCAGGGCCTCCGGAGACGTCATCCTTGCATCCTGGCTCCTGGCACCTGCCTGTGCTCGCCTGGGGTCACTCACTGTTCCTTTCCCGTTTCCAGTAGGTGCGCAAATGGCACCATTACTTATCTCCAGTGGCCACAGGGTCCTGCAGCTGCAGCTTCTGCCCAGGTGTCAAGGACATCTCCATTCCAGGGCTCTACCGACCCTCATCTCCTGGTGCAGAAATCTGGAAGGTGGAGAAAGAACACTGGGATGTAATAGGAGGGTCCACTACGCGGCACTCCCAGGCTGGGACACCCCTCACCCTGTGCTTGCTTTATCCAAGGGACCAGCTGTGTTGCAGGAGCACTGGACAAAGCCAGGTTTAAATCTCAGCTGTGTTACTGGCCAGCTGTGTCACACTGAGTAGGTTGCTTAACCTTGCTGGGCCTCAGCTTCCCCATCTGCAAAATGGGGATAACAGCTCTGCCCTTGAGGAGTAATGAGGATGATAGAAATAATAAGGAGGAGGAGGAATAGCAGCAGGGGCTCTTTCCTCAGCCCTTCCTGTGTGTCAAGCACTCAGCTAAACACTTCGCATATTATCTCACTTAACCCTGAAACCAATCCAACAAGGTAGAGATATCATATGCCTGTTTCACAGATGAGGAAACTGTGGCAAAAGAAGGCATATTAGCTAGCTTTCCCCAAGCCACACAGCTGGTAAACAGGAGAGCCAAGGTTTGGAAGAGTCTGTGTGCAGAGCCTGGACTCTCAATGACTACACGGCCCAGCCTGCCATGAGACACTACCACATATAAATGCACCTAGCCCAGGCAGGACTATGCTGCAGGTGCTTGGTGTATGCATGCAATCAGCTGACTCCCAGCGGTGCACTGGAACTGTGGGCCTGGGTTGGAAGGAGCTTCTGCACAGGCTGGTCATTGGCTTTTACACAGGATGGGGCCCAGGGGAGGGAGGGGATTGCGTAGCCTTCCCAGGCCTCCTGGACTCCAGAGGCCAGAATCAAAGGACCAGGGTAGCGCCTGAGCCGTGCACCTGCAAACAGAGGCCGAGCACCCGGAGCAGAGAAGGCGGAAGGCTCTCTGATCTGCCTTCCGTGGGTCTCTCCGCTCCCCAGGACTCAGCTGTTGCTCTGGGTTTCGGTTCCCATTGGCGGCACCTCTGAAGCGTGCTGTTGGGGTTGGCAGAGGGTTCTGCAGCTGCAACGACCTGGGCTGCTGTGTGAGCGAAGCCCTTAGCACAAGGACAGGCTTATCCCAGAAAAAAAGGCCCCCAGAAGCGTGACTAAGCCACTGCCCGTAACTAACTTGGCCCGGGCCCCCCGCCAGGCCTGTGCAGCCACTCAATGGCTGCTCTGTGCACCAGGGATAGACAACGGGTGTGAGAGGAAGGACAATGTTTGAGCTGGCATTCCAGGCCCCCAGAAGGCTTGGAGGCTTGGGACAAAGATCCCAGATAGGCATGAGCCTCTCTGATTAAACGGTGAGGGCCGCCAGGTTCTGAGGCCCTCGGGGAGGGCAGAGATGTGGAAATATGGGTCAGCTGGTCCTTTAGGCTGGGGCAGAGGTAGCAGACTCAGTAATCAGCAAATGACGGTGGAATTAAATTCTGGGTTTGGAAATTGCAGACGGTTCTCCAGAGCTTCTATTTTCTAGGCTGACGTATTTGCCAGGCCCACCCCAGACAGCCTCATCAGATTTGTAAAACCTCAGAGAAAATCCCAAGAAATCCTGGCTGATCTCTCTGCCTCCAGCTTTGAACCCTCCGATCCATCTTCCACAAGGCTGCCAAGGTGATCCTCCTCACACGCAAATCTGATCATGGCGCACCCCTGCTTAAAACCCCCTTCAATAGCTCCCCGTGGCTACTGGATAAACGCTAAGCCCCTCGGCATGACATACAAGGGCCCCTTCGTGATCCAGCCCATCCAGCCTCATCTCTTGCCCGGTCTCTTTCTTTGGCTTCCTCATCTCAAATGCAGACATGCGCACACACACTCCACATTCCAGCAGAACCACCAGGAACCATAGCACATCTGCCTCGGTGCCTTTGCACAAGCTACCCTTTGTTTATGCCTTTTCCTTCCTCTTCACTTATCAAATCCCTGTGTGTCCTCCAAGGCTCAGGCCAGATATTGTTCCTCAGAGAAAGCTTCCCTGAAGATTCCTCAGTCTTTCCGCAGCCCCTGCTGACCCTCAGCCCAGCACTCGCCATCGTGAGGCTGATCAGAACTGTCCGTCTACTTGTCAGTCACCCTCCAAAGTCTGTCATCTACTTAGGGCTAGAGGCTATGCCTCTGTCATTTTCCTAACCCCGGCCCCAGCATGAGGCCTGGGAGTGTGGATGCTCAGTGATCTTTGTTTATGAATACATCTTAAAAACGAACGAGACCACAGATAAATTGATACGTAAATCCTGACATCAGAAACCTGCTCCTATGGGGTCAGGGCAGTGAAATCTCAAATGCCACTTACCCAGAGCCATGGATGAAGCCTGAAACGTGGGAGAGATGGAGTAGTGCATGGGTACAGGCCCCCAGGCAGTCCAGGAACACAGCTTGATGGAGCTGAGGGTTTTCAGAAGCATGGAGTTAACAAGAGTGCCTGGGCTGAGCTTTATGTCATCCTTTCTATGATGTAATTCTATGAGAAGGGGTCTCCAGGTCTGTTCACAAAGGGGCTCCGGTTACAAACTAGGGATCACATCCATCCTGTACCACTGAAGGGGAGAGGGTAGCACTCCTGCTGTGAGAAGGTTTCTGATGAGATGGAGCAGAAAGGCAGGCAGGAGCTCAACAGTTCGGAATTTTGAAGGCAGGGTATACTGTGAATTCTGTATAGATTTTCTAGATAGGATTTGGATATACAATACAAGTAGGGCTGGGGTAGGGAGTGGTCAGAGCGGATGAATCAGGATTCAATCCATCTCACCCAGGATCCCACGGTCCTCCGAAGTATTTTCTGGTGCCCCCCTTCCAAAAGAGGCTTCCCTGGTCTGGGGAGGTAGGTGCTGGTGCGGACACCACAGCCAGCCATGTGCAGGCCAGATTTCCATGGCCCAGGTCTTCTATGAAGCAGGCTGCGCTCCCAACTTTTAAAATCACAAAGCAGATTCCTAGCCTGGAAAACTCACTGCGGGTAGACTGGTAGGGGGAAACAAAAGACCGGGTGTGGTGGCTCACGCCTGTAATCCCAGCACCTTGGGAGGCCGAGGCGGGTGGATCACAAGGTCAAGAGATGGAGACCATCCTGACCAACATGGTGAAACCCTGTCTCTACTGAAAATACAAAAATTAGCTGGACGTGGTGGCATGCACCTGTAGTCCCAGTTACTCGGGAGGCTGAGGCAGGAGAAACGCTTGAACCTGGGAGGCGGAGGTTGCAGTGAGCTGAGATCATGCCATTGCACTCCAGCCTGTTGACAGAGCAAGATTCTGTCTCAAAAAAAAATAAATAAACAAATAAAAAATAAGCATCAGGAACTTGTCACCCTGCCCTGGACTTCTACCACACTTTATAGCCAACATCACAACGTAACACTCTCTCTCCTCAAGGCTGGCAGCCCCGCTCCAGGGCAGAGATCACACCTGGTGTATCCATGTTCCCAGATCCCAGCCCACAGCTAGCAGGGCAGTGATGGTAAATGTTTATTGAGTGACTGAACCCACGAGAGGCCTGGGGATGGGCTGGGAAACTTGGAGCATCTGCACAAGGGCTCACAGCCAAGCCATGAGGTAAGTCAGAGAGCAGAACCGGCCAACACCTGGGGTCGGGGACAGAATCCTAGCCATTGCTTGTCTGCATAGGGCCTGGGAGGCCATCAGCTATACCCACTACACCCGAAAGCCAGAAGGCTGTCCATGACAGTAAACCTACCTCGAGCAAAGCATTGCACAGGGCAGGGCCTCAGGCTCATCGTCTGTTCAATGGGGGTAAACGTGCTTTACGGGATCAAATTAGGGAGTGGACATGAATCCGCTGTGGCTCTGTTCCCTACAGACTGCGGCATGGCTTGGTTATGAATGCAAAAGAGGCAAGCAAGGAAAAGCCGGAGGATGGGCCTGTAGTAGCTGTGCCACTGGTGAAGTCAGACTCGAGAGGCCTCTCCCCAGCTCTGAGCCCCCGCAGTCCCTGGAGCGCACCCAGGATCCCACTCTTGCTCGCAGCTGATCCCCATGCTGAGACTGCTGTTAGCAATTGCTTTGTCAATGCCACCACTTATGAAGCATTTGCAGTGTGACTAGGTTGAACTGGACTGTACCTGCACCACCCACCATCTCATTTCCTCCAGGCAAGCCACCAAGCAATGCCCTGTATACCCCATTTGAGCACTGAGGTCTCTGAAGCTGAGCCAGGTGATGTACGCTGCCCAAAGCCAGACAGATCAGGGCCAGCACTCAGACCAGACCACCTGCTCCCAGAGCCTCCATTATGCCCACTAAGCTTCCTATTTCTCTCCCCTTCCCAGCTCCGGCTTCACACGAGGCAAGATGTATTCTCGAGAGGAGTTTCGTGCGCCTCCGTCAGCACCTTCTTGAGGTCATGCCGGGCCAAAGCTCCTAGAGATGATGCCCCACATGGGGTCTCCCCAGCCAAGCCTTCCAGACAGTGCCTTGTCGGTGAATGTTCACGCCCCAGCCCACTGGGACTGGCAGGCAGCCTGGGGCCCTTCCCCTCTGAAAGTCTGGGGAATTTTTCCCCAACGTGCGCTTCCCGTGGGCACCTCCCATCTTGGAACCCTGCAGAGTGCTTCAGGGGAAGGCTGGGGCGGGGGGGGGTGGGGGGTTCTATCCCTGCCTGGGGCTTGGCCCTATTGGGGGTAGAGAAGGCACACCAGGGCTGGACAAAGGTGCACACTCACTGCCCTGCCCTGGGGTCACCCTAGAGAAGAGCAGGGCCTGCAGAGGGAGCTCCTGAGTTCCCCGTCAAGCATGAGAGGAGAGTAACAGAACAAAGGGGCTTCTGGAAGTCTCAGGAAGGGAGCAGGAGTCCAGAGCACCTGGGGACTCAGACAACCTGAGCTTTTGTCTATTACTTTGTTGCCATCTGGGACCGAGGGAGTGGCAGTTGCCCAGCCTGGCTCGGGCTGGTCAGGTGGCCACCTCTCAGCCAGGTAGGGGTCCAGAGACCGAGGGGTGGCAGCAGGGAGAGGAGAGGAGGCAGTCCCTGGGGGTAGGGGCTGCAGGATAGAACTCGGAGCTGGCCCAGGTGCCGCCAGTGGCCA